TATATATATATATATATATATATATATATATATATATATATATATATATATATATATATATATATATATATATATATATATATTATATATGTTGTATTAACTAAATTTAGAACCCCATCAATATAATTACTAAAATTCTAGTTTAAAAACAAATAGAAAGGTCATGCACTTAAAAAAAAGTTAACGAAAAGAAACAACACATACACAAAAGAGGTTTACGGGTACGAATATGACACCAGTTCATTAGCAATACCTTCTATTGACACTCTACTATGAAACCTAATAATCAGTGATTATCATCAAGACCTGTCTCTTTTTAAGTGTTGCCAATAGTGGACATACACAAAACTAAAAGAGAATTTCGTCTAGAACTTTGTACAGTATTTTTGTAGACTTTCTTGTTCAGATGAATCAGCTTATGAATACCCCTAACCCAAGTATGATAACCATCGATAAACACAATAAGAAGAATAAGTTTAAATAATATCAGAAAAATCCTATGAAAACGAAAAGAATTATTTCGAAAAGAAGACCATGACCACTAACACATTTTTGAGAACCTCTCGATAAAAACCATTATTTTAAAATTAACTCATTGAAATCAATTAAGAACCAGTCGATATAATTCCCTAAAAATGTTCAAATAATTTTAGAACCTTTCGACATTTAACTCATTTAAAATTCATCTTTTTAAAATGAAATAAATAATTAGCCTCGCAACAACATGTTGATTATTTTACAAAATTAATTCATTAATTATCCAATTAAACAAAACGAAAAAAAAAAGATCCATTAGATATTACAAAATTAAAAACATGTAGTAAATCAAGACGAGCTATTCAAATCACCTTAAAAATCACTAATTATTTCAGAATTAATTAAAATCATCATCTAACAACAAAGGGAGAATATTAATTAAAACAAAATGTTAAAGGTAAATTATGTGATTACCCCCCCTAATTAATTCTTGTGTTCTTTTACTCCTATTTTTTTTTTTTTTATATTTCCATATCTCCTTAAGCAGTTAAGGAAATCCTTCTGTTCTATCCCTCCTCAACAGTTTAGGCGAACCCTGAAAGGACATATACCCTACTACAAGAATTATTTCCAAATAGAAAACCATGAAACCTAGCCCAAATTTGAGAACTACAAAATAAGATGAATAATTTAAAATTAACTCTTTGAAATCAACTGAGAACGAATCGATATTTTTTTTCCCAAAAAATTTCAAATAAATTTAGAATCACGCGATATTCAACTATTTAAAATTCATATTAAAAATCAAGAGGTTTAATTCAATACCTAATCATCAATTAACCAAAATTCTTTCATTTAAAATTTATATTTCAAACGGAATTAAATAATTTGCCTTACAACAACAAGATTTATGAAAGAATTGAAAACATAACATACAAAAAGAAGATTTATTAAAATCACCATACAAAACACGATTTATTTCAAAATTAATTAAATCATCATAAACAAAAAAGGGAGAATATTAACTAACATTAAATTAAAAAAAGTAATTAAGTTATTATCAACCCTTAACTGATTACTAATTTCCCTTGCTCCTAGATTTCTTTGTTTCCTTACCTCCTTAAGTAGTTAAGGTGGTCCCTTATATAATCATCTCTCCGTAACCTCCTCAACCTCCTTCAAATACGCATCGATTAAAATCTAATGTACTACTAGGGTTACAAAGTGGAAACCTTTTCCTAAATTCTAATGAGTGAAGTTTGGATGTTTACACAGTGCCGCTGACTCATTGAAGGTAATAAGCCGACGTTTAAGGTAGTAGGTAAGAAGTAAGCTGAAAAAACTGTAATAGTCCCCACTTAAATCTGGGAAAACTAAGCGGTTGAATTGGGACAACATAATCTTTGTATTTGGGCCTGTTTCGGATTTTTATTTTCACCCGACAATGCACTAACTGCATAAAGGCAGGATAAAAGCTTCTAATATATAAACCTTCGAATTATCCAGCAAATGAAACACACTTAAAGAATATATATTTATATGTGTCCAGGTATGGGCGATCATAATTAAAGCAATGATTACATTGTCATCGAGCCCATATAAAAACTCGCTACACGGAGCAACCTCAAGGTTAATCCAAAAATGCGCCATGTATAGTACTGGATGAAATATATCTTTTGAGCAGATTATATTTTTTTAATCATCTTTAAATTTGTTTGAGAACCCTGAATTATGTCGTTTTATATGGATATCACATGTTCTCTATCGTGATAAAAATTATTTTGTTTTTACTTTCTAGACTAGACCGTATTTGTTTAAGTTAGAAAGCAAGACTGAACAGAAAAAACAAGAGAAAATAAATAAATGTACATATTAAAAAAAAATCAAATATTTACTTTACTGATATTACTATTTATTGGAATAACCCATCTCTGCTATATTTGAGTTTGTACTTTATAGTGACGCCAGACGACATCAAATAAATAAAGGCTAAAGAAAAGGTTCTTCTTCAGAAATGTAAACTTACGGACACTTGCGTAAGATGCAGAATCAAGAGAATGTGAGACTTCTAGGACAGTGGACACCAGAGGTTCCGGCAAAGATGTTGTGAGGCATTATAAATATGAGACCCAGCATTTTGGTTTCACACCAATGACACTGCTAAATGGAATGTTTAATGCCATTTGTGACCAGTACGGAGAAGGACTCAAGGCTTTTTGCACTACCTGCAGCCAGCAGTTCCAAGGTGCAATGAGTGATAAGCAGTTGAGACAGGCCCGACATTCTGTCAGTCAGCTTATAGACCATGACATCAGCTCCATGTTTGACAATTTAGAGAGCTACTTACTGGAACGAATGTTAACCATTCCTGAGAGTGTTGTATTTTCAGAAGATAAATAAATGCCAACTTTTACATGGTGGTGCAGACCGTTATGATCAAGTAGAAGATAACAAAATGAGGTGAAGAAAAAAAATCATTGCTGTCAAATTTGCTAGTGCACAGTTAAACCAAAACATTGCAGATGCCAGTGCAGTACAAAGCACACTGGATGAGGTACTAAAGCAAATGTCAGGTAGGAACATTTCAAGGCTTGGAGCTAAACGTCTAAAAGACTGGCTATCCTGTTACAGTGAACAGCTAATAAAACTCAACAAGAAATGAATGGGGGATTATATAGGTATCAAATCTACTAGCTTCAGTGTAAATATTTTGGCAGTTTCCTCATGTTCTTTATGTAAAAGGAGAACAAGTTTGACTGCAAAGAAAGAAAATCCTCGTTATTTGACCCTAGGAAGAAAAAGAGGTGCATGCTTATGATGTATACTTTGACCTTGGAAATGGTAATAAAGCAGGTTGCTTTTTTTGTTCTTACTTTACTTTCAAAGCAATTATTAATTATTCTAAAAATTTAATTGTGCTTCAAGTATTCCATAGAAATGAAAATTTGACAAAGTCATTATTTTCAATGTAAAAATTTAATTTTAAAATTAATATAACTATCACAGTTGAAGACATTGGCATATAAAAGCTAGTATGTTGAACATTATTCTGATATATTTTAACTATTGTGTATTCAGAAAAAAAAATGTTTTCGTCCTGATGTAGGCATATTAGCATGTGTTTCATTACTGGTCATCTAAAGATTGACAAAAATTTCATTGTAATGAAAGGAATTGTTTCAAACAAATTAAAACTGAACAAATGTTCACAAAAAAGTAAGACAATGTTCAAATTATTGATTTATATTTTTTTCAAATCAATTACATTATTTACAAAAGAGAGTATTATTAACTAAAAATTCTTAAAATCATGCAGCGAAATATTCGTTACAAACATGGATAAAAGAGCGGTGCAGGACCACTTTCAACATTAATGTATATTACATTTTGTTTAATGTGGTGAGATGTTAAAATCAAAGTATAGCTAAAGGTTATACATACACAACAGGAATGAACACAGGCCTATGTCATAGCGAATGTAAATTATTCTATGACGTAACCAATGCACATTTTCTATGACATAAGGAATCTACATTGTCTATGACATAAGGAATCTACATTTTCTGTGACATAAGGTATCTACATTTTCTATGACATAAGGAATCTACATTTTCTGTGACATAAGGAATCTACATTTTCTGTGACATAAGGTATCTACATTTGCTATGACATAACCGATATACACTGTAAGTGACATAACAAATCTACATTTTCATGAAAAAACAAATCTACATTTTCTGACATATTGGTTAAGTATTAATATGTGTGGTAGCGCATGTTAATTGGGGGATTTCAACAGATCAACTATTCCCTCGAGCAGGGGCTTTTACCCCTCCCCCCACCCCTTACCCATTGGTTGAAGGCAACTGTGTGGGATTAACCTAAGGGCGTACGAGGCACGGGCCTAAGGTCTCTCACCTTTTAAGGTCCGATTATTACAACTACTAGGCCTAAAATTTAAAAAAATTGTTATAGTTGGCCCATATTTAGCCGAAAACTACTCTTGCAGTCCTATTTTAAGTTAGTCTTAGACAAAAATGAAATCTTTAATTAATGAAAAATTTAAATTAATTGTTATTTAATTTTATTTTTAACACTAAGCATGCCTACTGAGTGTTTTCACTTTTAACCTTAGAATCTGGTGTTATTTCATAGGCCCTAGGCTCTAATCCTTTATTATATAATTACAACCCAAATAGTTGTAAAATTGTTGACATAACAATCAATGACTTGTTAACAATCAGATAAAATATAAATTAGGAAAATACAATTTTGTTAAAGATATCACATAAATAAATAAGACTCAACATGAAAACTTCAAATAAACCGAAAGTTAACTTTTCTCTTTTGGTCGCAACAAAAACTAGACCGAAAGTATTCAAATTACAGCTTTCGGAGCCGAAACCGAAATTTGGTCGGTCTCGAATTTTCACTCAAATTTCCGGCAACTGAATAATGTGACGTACAATTCGAAACTGCGGAAGGGGAATTCCGCCCTAGGCTGAATTGTATTTCTTTATGTTCACGAGCTAAATGTTTTGGAAAATTGCAGATTTCATTTTTTTTCCTCCCAAGAAAAGCGTCAGAAGGCATGGTCCACCCTGTGCGGTACAAACCGAGATACGACATTACGGACATGACATACATATATACTTAAGTGGGGGACACCAAAATGTGGACGGCCTAGATGCGATCTAAATACGGCGCTGGAATGCCAACCCCCCTTCTCTCTAGACCTAGGACTTAAAGCAAATCCTACCAACTCCCTGTGAGGCCTCCCCATCCCCCCCCCCTGAAGAGCCAGGAGGGCCTAGACTATGAAGTTATACCGAAGTGCTCAACCAGAATCTTCCTATAATAAGGGGACTTAAACACCCAACGTTTACCACGAATCCTCGCAATATGAGACCTGACCAAAAAAATTACCAGTAAGATCCTTGCTAGAATGGATGTGATGATCGTTCTTAAGCACACAATGCTAGCCCTCAAATCGTACCAGATGGCTAGCGGGTTGGCCGTCCCGAAGGCATAGGCCAGAATGGCGAATGTTAGGATGAACTCGACCACGGCGACGGTGAGAACGAAAACCACGCTGTCATACACGAAACCCGCGAACCAGCTGAGCAAGTTAAAGACGCCGAACACTTGGTGTCCATCTAGATTAGACATGACCGGTGCTACGGATAGGACAGAAGAATTGGACATTGACATTACCAGGATGGTTATATCCCTCTTCAAAAAACAGGGAAAAGAATATGTATATAAATAGGACCACTAGGTTCCGGCGCTTCTTCAACAGCAGAGACGATCCAAGATGTCAGCTCATTTGCAGAATGCGGTGCAATGATGTTTTTAAGACTGTCGTAGATCTCACCAGAGACGTGCATTAAAATCTTTAGAAATCTTCAAAAATTTTGGTTTGAATTAGTCATGTGGATATAGTCTTCAAAATTGTTACGCAGTTCCTGCTTTGGGTTGGGTCTATTTTGTCATAAGATCATCAAATCCTGTGAAAGAGATGTTTATATATAAAAAAAAACATAATACAAATTACTTTGAAATCATTGAAAATCGGTGGAAATTATAAGTTTATTATATACGAGCCTCATTTATCTTAGAACAGCGTTTCCCAAATTTTCTTATTTCGCGAACTGATTATTTGTATACTCCCCATCGTGTCCCACTAACATTATACATGATTAAAGCCATTACTGACAAAAACATGTCAAGACAGCAAAAGTGTCCAACAATTTATTCATCAGCACGTCCCGATACTCTAACCTAGATTTTCAATCGATTCCTTCTCCTTATTTCAGCGACTCGGTCATTTTGATATCGTAGCACGGTACCGCGTCTTGACCCGGCATTTGGATCGTTGCCTTAGAATAAATTCCGACTTATACACAGATTTATATAGATCGTTATTTATTTAACGCCATTTAAAGAAAAGTATTATATAGCATTTAAAAAGTGCCTCCCGTAGGCGGTCTCCCGCGAGATGTCCCCCCACTGGCCACTCAGGAGTTTTAGGATAGCGATATTTTAATTGAAAAGAATGACAGTTGGAATTTGACCCTCTCTCGAAAGTAAGTCCAAAGGTCACAAAGGTTAGCTGTTGTAAGCAGAACCTTCTAGAGTAACCTCGCCAAACGTAAAAAAAAACGATGCTATAAAGGATGCTTAACTACGATCATCCTGTTGTTTTGTTGGCACGACATCCCAATGTACTGTTGAAATAACATCCTGGTGTATGGCTGACTCGCTTTACCGATGCATTGCTGGCATGAACATCCGATTTATTGTTTGCTTCTGTTTCCGATGTAAAGCTGGCATCATATCCCCTGGTGTATTTCCACCATATTCTGATCTGGTGTTTTATCCCTTATCCTGACGCATTGTTGACATAAAATCCCGATCTATTTATCTATTGCATTCCGATGGTTTTTTTTTAGCACGACATCCCGTGTGTCTTTACGCATCACATCTCGATTTAATGTTGTCACCACATACCGATGTATTTTGGCAACCAATAACAATGCAACATACCCTGATTTTCTGGGTCTGCCCACACCAATGACACTGCCTCAGAGGGTGGAGACAGGCATCCCTGGTTGTGAGCCCCTGATTTTCTCTAAGGATATAAATTATTTTATGTCAGAGACAAAATAAAACAACTAAGTCTATTTCTAGTTTTTCTTGCACATTTGAAGTTGAGTTAGACATAACACTACTGATGCACCATTTACTTACGTGCACACATCGAGGCACTAAAATAGAGGAATTTAAACATTTGACCGCCTGTAGTCGCCGGCAGGTTTTAATCCGGCACCGTTATCAGCCAAAGTTATGGCCTGAAACGACAACTCTCATGCGTTACTTAAAAGTTCGTGATACACCCCTCAGCAGCTGCTCATATTACTCGTCTGGCTGTTTCTCATGAATTACCATAGAATCAAACCGGGTTTTCCCAGTACATGTTTTCTAGTAAATGATAAGTTCTAGAGAAATCATTGCTAGACAACATTCACAGATTTTAAAAAAAACAAAAAAACAACAACAACAGAGAAACAAAACCAAAAAAACTTCATGTACACGTCATTTTTAAAATTGGAAAAGTACCTCGTATATTTCAATTTTTTAAGACTTTTTTTTTAAACACAGCAGCTGATTAACCTAAAGGTGTATGAGACATGGGAGTAGGAAGGAGCTCAGCGTCTTGAAAGACCCAGCAACAAACTATATCTTTATACTTGTGTCTGAGGTGGCAATGGTCGGGAAGTGTGTGTGTGTGGGGGGGGGGGGGGGGCTATAGGGAACTTGATTTGACCTTGAACTTACTCGTATTGACGTAATATAAAGTATATCTTTATACTTGTGTCTGAGGTGGCAATGGTCGGGAAGTGTGTGTGTGTGGGGGGGGGGGAGGGGGCTATAGGGAACTTGATTTGACCTTGAACTTACTCGTAATGACGTAATATAAAGTACCGATAGGAATCTTTCTATACAACAGGGCATTGCATTGTGGGTGGAAATTTAAAGTAAACGAAATAACGCAATTCTCAAAATTTTGAAATGACGCAAAAGATCAAAAAGGAAGTGAGTCTGTCGTCCCCGTATTGACAAAAGAGATAGAGATGAAAAGAATAT